GTCACGCATGCGCCGCAGCGCGTCGTCTGCCGTCCTTTCCAGCACCACGCGCTCTATGTTCTGGTGGTCCATGAGCACGTTGCGCAGCACAGAGCCCTCAGCCCCCGGCGGGAACACCAGGGCGCGCTCCACGGTGAGCACGTCCGGCGCGGCCGCCAGGTGGGCCGGCACCACATGGGGTGGGTGGTCAAAGTTGTAGACGATGACCGTCGCCCGGCAGTTGCACCGCGTCATCAGCGTCTGAGAGGGAGTGGGGGTTGGGGGGGCCGAGGGATGGGGGGGCTGGGTGCTGAGGGGGACGAACCTGACGAGGCTGGTCCAACCTGGCGGACGGCAGAGTGGCGAGTGCGGACGGAAGGTGCTTCCCTCGCTCACAAACATCCCACACCAGCGACAGGCATGGCCCTCGGTCCCACCAACCCCCCCACCTTGCTCACCCTGAGGGCGCGTGCATCCTCGTGGCTGTGCACGAGGAAGTTGGGCAGCGTCCGGCCGATTGCGCACTGCGGGAGCAGGCGGGCGGGGTGTGTTGAGCCACCAAAAATGGGCGGTCGAGGGGGAATGTGCTCCCGCTGACCCAACGAGTGCTGCGGCACGGCGGCGAAGAGCCTGGCGCCGGCCACGAATGCTTCCATGGCCCTTCCTCCCCCTCCACCCGCCCGAAGACACCGTACACCACCTGTCCCGAGAAACATGCGATCATAAACTCCCCCCCTGCATTACATCCAGCCTCTACAGACCGGAATCTGGCCCCTCAAATCGACTGCCCCTTCCGCCCAAGCGCGGAACCCCCCACCCCCACCCCCCCATCTGCCCATCGCTCCACATTGAAACACCCGGAGACGCCCCACCTCCACGGCCAGGGCCCAGACGTCATCGTTGAGCGCCAGCGCGGCGCCGACGGGGCCGATGGGCCGCCGGGCGAAGGAGCGCGGCGCCGCCTCGATCGCGCGCCGCACCTGCGCGGCCGCCGCGCCGCCAAACCGCTGCACGGGGTCGCGCCGAGCCTGGCCCAGCGCGCGCAGCGCGTCCTCCGCGGCACCCACGCCGCGCTCGGCCCGGACCGCCGCCCGCGTCGCGGCCTGCTGCGCGGCGCGCGCCGCCTCATGCCGCGCCGCGCCCTCCTGCATCGACAGGCGGTGGGTAGCGACGGCCGCGCACGCCGCCTCCGCCTCCAGCTCCGCCGCCCTCACCGCCGCTCCACTCCGCTCCAGGCGGGCCTGGGGGGGGGCGGACGCAGGGTGGGGAGACTTGGGGGAATGATGGGTGGAGAAGACCGCAGCCGCCGGGGAGCACGATCATTCGCCACCCACAGGCAGGGGGGGCCTTGGACGCAGGGCCGGATCGCAGACACACACAGTGCCATCCATGCTTTCATAGGCTCGTGGACAGAACACAGCGCTCACCCGCTGCTCGGCCGCGCCGCGCCCATCCACCTCCGAGATGGCCTCGGCCATGGACTGGTGCTCGGAGCGCATGCCTGCAAGTTCGCCCTCCAGACGCCGCAGGTCTGCCCTCGCGGAGGAGAGCTGCAGCGGGGAATGTTTTGAGCTTACGGACAGGGGAGTGGCAGTGAGTGGGCAGAAGCAAGACGAAAACCTCCCCCCCCCCCCCAAAGAAAAACATACCCACAAGCTGCCACGAGAGCTTCTGTCACGTGGCTCATGGGCGGCAGGTGTTACAGCAAGCACAGCTTGCGCCCAGGAGCATGCATGCCCCTGCCTCCCGCATGGAGTCCCCCGACCCAACGCCATGACCCAGCAGCTTCAGTGTGAACTACCCTCACGCTCACCTCCTGCACTCCCGCCGCCTTCTTGGCACGCAGCGCTTGCACTGTCTGGGTGACGCCCTCGATGGCCTCCTTCAGATCGTTTACCTTGGCCTCCTGCATGACGGCGGGGTCGGGACGTGGTATCAGCCAGGGAATCCATGGACCGTACCCACTGGAAAGCTGCGCTGAAACAGCGGCGCCACGTGTGTCCATCTCACCTCCCGCGAGATCGCCACATCAAGTTCGTCCTTTCGGGCGCATGCGGCCTTGGCGTCGGCGCGCGCCTGCTCGGCCGACTCTGGGAACGTGGTCGCCAGGTCCCGCTCCACCTCCTGGTGCAGCGTCGAGGATGCTTGGGCTTGAATGGCCGATGCTCCTGCATGATACTCCCCTCAACAACCGAATGCTCCTCCGAGACAGCGAATGGGAGATCCGCTTGCATGACCACCCTGTACCAATAATAATGTCGAGCCCATACCTCTGTGCTGAGCACGCTTTGCCCACCTGGATGTCTGCCTCTGTCTCTGCCACGGCTTTCCACACCAGACCCTTGGCCAGTTTCACGTGGGTAGCGCGCCACGCCTCCACCCCCCTGAGGAGCTCCAGGCGTGACTTCTTGGCCCCCAGATCGGCCTCGGCACCCTGATGGGGTTGGGGTGGCAAGCCTGTGCTGCAAGATGGACAGCCTGCCAGTATCCCTACCATTGTGTCGGGTCCATTCCCGGCCTGGGCTCTCCACGTCCCAACCGGCATCAGCAAGCCCTGGCCGCCTCCTCTTCCCCAGCCCCAGGTCCCACCTGCAGGCCGGCCTCGTCACCCTTGTTGGCGGCCAGCATGCACTCCAGCCGCTCGTTGGCGAGGCGCAGGTTCGCCCCGATCTCCTGGAAGTGCATGGCCTCCTCGAAGAACTGGAACTTGGCCCCCTCGCTGGCCTGCCCGGCAAAACTGCGGCGGGCGAAGCGTGCCGTGAGAAACGAGGGGGCCGTGCAGCGGGGCACAGCGTACAGGGCATGCCGCAGCGTGCAGGGCACGGCGCACTTCCACCCCTCCGTCTGGATCCTTGACTCTGCACCGCCAGCACAGCGGGAGCCAGCAGGGACCCACGCACAGCGCGTCGCTCCACACTGCCCACCCACCCGCGCGCCAGGTCCTGGGTCAGGACGACGACGGGGTTGGCTGCGTTGATGCAGAAGTGGTCCATGAGGGCTGTCACCTCCTTTGCGCCAGACATCCTCTGCGCGCGAGAAGGCGGAGATTGCTGGGCAGGGTTGGCAAACGACACAGGCATCGAGCATGCAAGGGTTTGGATGCAGACGGGGCAGGGTTGAGTCTGGGCACTCGAGGGATCAACAATGGGATGTGGGAGTCTCCCGGCCCAGCACAGACCAGGCACAAAGAAATCAAGCACCAGGGCCTTTAAACCTCCCTCGGACCACCCCGCCCTTTCCCTCCCACCTCCCGGCCCTGCGCGTCTCGGATCTTGATGTGGCCACCGGTGCCGCTGTTGATGCGCCGCTCTATCGTGATTCTGGGCCCCAGCTCCTCGGCACGGTAGGCGTCTGGCCCCTCATTGCAGAGGGTGACGCTGACGAGGGCGTAGGGCATGCCATGCTTCACAAAGCCGTGCACCGACTTGAACCTGCATGCGGTTGGGACGGGCGAGGGCGAGGGTTTGCATGCCGGCCTGTGGGCAGCGGTGGTCCATTCATGGCACCCCAGAGCAATGCATCCTCATCCCTCAGAGCGTCGAGGCAGGCGCAGAACGCCACCGGGCTTCAGGCCTGGCACCCGCCACCAGAGCGCAGGGCATCCCACACCACAGCATGCAAGCCCGCAGCGCGCGTGCATCGCCAAACGATGCCCACAGCCACACCCACCGCACCTGCCGGTGTCCCGGGCCCGGGCACCCAGGCAGCACTGCAGGGCGGTGAGCGCCGCGCTCTTGCCGCTCCCGTTTGACCCCGAAATGAAGGTGACGTTGGGCCCAAAGTCCATGGTCAGGTGCTCGTGGCACATGAAGTTGACCAGCGTGATGGTGGCCACCTGGCCCGCCCTGGCCTGCCCGCTGGGCAGGGGGGCCTCAGCCTGTCGAGAGCCGGTGAGGAAGAGGGGTCTTGGAGGCTGCAGGACCCAGGGATTGCAGGTGGAAGGGAGCCTACACCCGTGTGGCATGCCATTCGCCCTCCTAGCCCTGCCAGCTGCTCCCATTCCAGAAGGGCAGGCCGCTTCGACACCCCTTGTGCCCTCGGATATGCCAAGAACTCACCTCCACCTGTGCCTGCTCAACCTGCTCCTCCTCAGCCACTTCGGGCTCCTCCACATCGCTCTGCGCATCGCGCGTGGCGGCGGGCTCCTCCACGGCCCTGTTCTCGTCACCGCCAACCAGGATCGTCACTTCACTGCCTGGACGCGCCCGCTTGGGGTCCGGCTGGGAGGCAAGGGGCTCCACCCCGCCATGGCCCGTCCCTGGGGAGGGGCCCAGCCGGCGCGGGGAGGTCATCGTCTTCCTCCGTGACCGGGTGGAGGGACCACGACACATGCCACCGCCGGGTGGGCTTGGCAGCTGGGTCCCAGGAGGCATGGTCTGGTTGTCGACAGGTCCCAGTACCTCACGCATCACAGGCCCTGGTCAGCGTGGCCCAGCTCACTGGGAGAAGGAGACGTGGAATCCATTGAGCACCACTGTCCCAAGCTGGGCATCGCACAACGCAGATACGAAGCTACTGGCCGGCAGGGTGCGCCACGACAGGCAGGGCAGGTACCAGAGCACCCTGACCCACCTGCAGCCCGAGCCGTGCACCGGCGATCAGGTCACCGACGAAAGTATCATTGTAGATACTATTGTGATATTTTCAGCATGGTCTGCTGCAAATCAGGGGATCTCCAAATCCAGCGGAGACTTGACTTATTGAGACGTGGCCAGGTCGGGTTCAAGGTTGGTCTGGAGGGGCTGGTGGGCTGGTCGCGGAGTTGAAACAACATGAGGATGCACAGGACATTCCTCACAGTACCGCCAGCATGTAGGCTGGGCTTCGTGCTGGTGGGGGACGCGATCCAGCCCTTCGACATTCAATCGAGTTTCGCCAGCCCATGCGGGGTGTGCTGTGCAGTCCCGGATCTCCAAAACTCCCTAGCACGGGTAACCTGCGAGAACTGGAGGGCCATCCTGCCTTGATTGAACACTCATGAGAAACAATGGCTTTTGAGAGATGTCTGTAGGCAGCAGATTTGGCATGGTCGGGTGTTCGAGGTCCAGCTCCGGCGAGCATCCTGCCCAACTCCACGCCACACCGAAGCTATAGATCTCAAGTTTACCACGATATCCAAAGGTTCGCAGAGGCAATACAAACGCCCCGATCTGTGTCACCTCCCTTCGCAATGACAGGGGTCCTGGACCGGTACCAATTGCTGCACAAGATCGGGCAGGGCTCCTTCGGCACCGTATGGAAGGGGTGAGCGAGGAGGGGTTGCCGCGTTCGTACAACATCCAGCATGCAGCATCAGAGCGAGCGACTTCCCAACTCTGCATGGCCCTTCCCCATGTTCCCCCCAGGCTGGACACATTGGAAGGGCGCGATGTGGCAGTCAAAGTCATCGACCTGGAGGACCTGTGAGTCTGGGGAATAGCCGACTCCGCAAGGGCTGGGCAGTGGCTGTGCTGGTTGTTATATAGAGGGCTCTCACATGGCAGTGTGGCCGTTCAAGTATCACACAGATCCGGTTGGCGACTTGGCCCCTCCAATGCCTATGGTTGCTGGCGGGGCCTGCGTGGGCTGCTCATGCGACAAGGCAGGCGCACTTGTGTAGGTCAAGTTCGATCGTTGGAGAACCACTCCTCAAACCCCAGCCCTGCGCCCCGCGTGCTGACATGTGTGCCGCTCAACCCCCCCTTCCCCCTAAATGAACAGGGAGGAGGACATCGGCGACCTGCAGGAGGAGATCAACACGCTGCGCGGCTGCCGCCACCCCCACATCACGCAGTACTACGCCTCCGCCGTGGTCCCCGGCTCCTCCCGCCTCCTCATCGTCATGGAGCTCATGTCCCTGTCGGTGGCCGACCTCCTGGTCACACCACCCACCGCATCCCCGGAGGCCAGCCCCCCGGACCCAGCCGCTCCGGCAGCCGTCGCCGGCCTGCCGGAGCCTGTCATCGCCCACGTGCTGCGGGGGGTGCTGAAGGCCCTGGCCTACCTGCACTCCCAGGCCCGCATGCACCGCGACATCAAGGCCGCCAACATCCTGCTGTCCAGCGCGGGGGCGGTCAAGGTCAGCGACTTTGGAGTCAGCGCCCAGCTGTCGGGCACGGTGGGCTACAAGCGGCGCACCTTCGTGGGCAGCCCGCTGTGGATGGCGCCGGAGGTGATAGAGCAGGCGCCGGAGCGACACTCGGGGGTGCCGGGCGGGCCCGATGACGCCCGGGACGGGTACAACATGTCGGCGGACATCTGGTCCCTGGGCATCTCCGCCATCGAGGTGGGCGCGTGGTCGGATTGTTTTGTCTGGGGCGGAGGAAGGGGAAGGGCTGAGCGCTTGTACATGCACCTGCAGCTTGGATACCAGGTACGCCACTACGCCGCCGCGACCAACTCTTCAAGGCCGGCCAGTCGGTGTTCCTGTGGAGTCCTTTGCCCACCCTGCCTCTGAGCTTGCTGCGCCGGCATGCGAACAGCAAAAGTATCCCTCCAACGCGCAGATGGCCCGGGGAGAGCCGCCGCGGGGCGAGGTGTCATCCTTCCGCCTCCTCTTCATGATCGTGCGGGATGAGCCCCCCTCCCTGGAGGGTCCCTTCTCCACAGAGTTCAAGGACTTTGTATGGCAGTGCCTCCGCAAGGCGCGTGGTGCTGGGGGTGGAGGGTTTTACTGGCGCCGCGCTGCCCTTTTCTGATGTGCCGAGTTGGTGAGGTGCGATGGGACCTCGCGCGAGGCCTGGCTCGCAGGCGGGGGTTACCTGCTCCGTAACCCTCACCCACTAACCAAACATCCGCAGGATCCGACCCAGCGCCCCTCCCCCGCCGACCTGCTGCACCACCCCTTTGTGGCGGGCGCAGACGCGTGCCCCGAGCTGCCGCACCTGGTGGCCACCCACGCCGCGCGCCAGGCGCTGCGCTTCGCGGCGGCCGCCGGCCCGGGCAGCGCGGGCGCCTTGCCGCGCGACGCCGAGGCCAGCGACGGCAAGGCGGCCGGCCAGAACGGGTGGGACTTTGCCGCCGGGATGGTCTCGTCGGCGGGCGCCGCGGCAGCTCTGGCGACGTCAAGCCTCCCTTTGGAACGCGCCCCTGTTCGTCGGACGCTGGCGTCCGATCCCGGCATCATCGGCGCAACAGAGGGGACGACTGGCGTAGGCCCGGGACCCCATCTCAACCCAGTGCTCGACGCCGCAGCGGCCAGCACGGCCGCCGACAACGCCGCCACCGTGCGGAGCGCGCCGCCGGGCGCGACGCCCTCTGCAGGCGACAAGGCGGCCCCTGGCCCGTCTGTCGCACCCCTGGCGCTGCTGTCGCGCCAGGGCAACGGCGCCGGCGCCGGCCCGCTCCCCGCCACCTCGCGCTTCGTGCCTGTGAGCGGCGTCGACGCGACGCCCGCGCAGAGACCGGGGACGACGAGCGCGGCGCCCTCGCCCGATGGGCGCTGGCCGCGGCCGGCGCCGGGCGGCGGGCCCGTGGCCGCCCTCCTCCGCCCCGCCCTATCCTCCGCGGCGGCAGCGGCCGGCAACGAGCCGGCGCGGGGTGCGGCGGCGGCGGCTGTCGCGGCGCTGTCGCAGCTTGAGACGCTGGCGCCGGGGTCCACCAGTGCCGCCCTGGGCGACATGCTGGCCAGCCTGTCCGCCAGCGACGACCCCGAGCTGGCCGCGCTGCGCGGCGCGGCGGCCGCTGTCTTCGGCGGCGGCGCCGAGCGGGGCGCAGGCCCCGGCCCGGACGTGCCGGCGGGGCCCCTGGGCGGCTTCCTGCTGGCTCGCTGGCGTGAGTCGGTGGCACGCGAGCGTCTGCAGCACCACCAGCAGCAGTACGCCCAGAATTGAGTTTGCTTACTGGGGATCCCAACCCGCGCTCGCTGCAGGCATCCTGACCCCGTCTCGATCTCGGCATGTAACATTGCCTTGGGGGCAGGCCAGTACACATGTGTGTGGGGTGAGGGGTCAGGTGTCATTCTGGGCGGGGGTCGCCTACACCCGTCGGATGAGGAGCAAGCATGGCACGGGGGTATGTGCGTCAATAGAGCAAGGTGTTGATTGGAAGCATGTGTGGGGCCGAGCGGCGCCACGGAACGTTGCACTCGCCGCAAATGTGGCTGGAAAGGAGGGCAGCACCCGGGAGTGCGGCACGCTAGGCCGCCCCCGGGAGGCCCACGCGCAACGCCGCCCCTCCTTCCTCGAGGGGCGCGTCGTCAGTGGCACGAGGCACGGCGCGGCCCCTTGGGCCTCCTGCGGCGGCCACCAGGCCCGAGATGAGCCCCGGCGGGGGCCCCGCTGCCGTCGTCGCCCCACCCTCGGCGGACGCGGCAGGGGTTCCCTGCCCCTCTCCCGGTCTGGCCTCGGGCCCGGGCCTGGTGGCGGCCTCCACCCACATGCGCACCCGCTCCGCCGCGCCGCACTCGTGCCACTTGAGCAGCGTGTGCCGGTGCACCGCCTTCTGGTCATCGGTCAGGTCCCGGGCCCAGGCCTGGAGGTAGGAGACCAGGGCGCGGGGGGGGATGCCCGGGGTCGCGTCCAGCACGCCCTCCACCTCGTCGTACATGGCCGACACGGAGGCCGGGCCGGGCGCGCTGCGCGGCGCCGCGCCGGCCTCCCCGCCGCCGCCCGTGCCGCCGCCGCCGCTGAGCAGCGCCGCGGGGGCGGGGGCAGCGGGATGGCGTGCTCGGCCAGCAGCGCGCGCAGGCGCACGTTCTCCGCCTCCATGGCCTGCATCTTCTCCTTCTGGCGCAGGCGGAAGCGCTGCTGCGCCTTGCGGTTCTTGTCCTTGGTGGCCTGAGTGCGGTCTGCGGGGCCGCTGCCGGTGCGCTGCATGGCGCTGTCGTCCTCGCCCTCGGGCGACTCGGAGCCGGAGTTGTGGAAGCCCTGGCCGCCGTTGCCGCTCAGCAGGGCGGGAGGGGGGGGCGGGGGCGGGGCGCCGGAGTGGTGCCATCGGCCTGGAAGGGGGGGCGGCATGGGTAGCGTGTGACGATGGGGAGGGAAAGGTGACCCTGGGTGAACCAAGGGGTGCTCAATGGGGCCTCGTGACGAGCTTTTTGCTGCAAGGATAGCGACTCCACATCACATGGAGAAGGGCTGCGTCGCCATGCAATCGGGAGGGGGTCTGCCCACGGATTCATGCACCACGAGGCCGAGCTGGGGCACGTCTCCTCATGGGCTTCGGCAGCCCCCAACAGAGGACACACTCAGCAGGCCGCGATCGCATTCTCAAATGCAACGTGGTCCCCGCGAGTTCACCGCAGCCACCGCCCACCTAAGCCCTGCTGCTCTGCCGATGCAGCAAGCTCCTCCACCCGGGCGCGCTTGAATGACGCGCCCTGCACCTGCCCGGCGCTCAGGGCAGCCTTCAGCTGCTCCAGGGGATCAGACACGGACGAAGCACCCACAGCCTGAAGTAATTGGCTCATGGGAGGGTGGGGGGTAGCCATGGCCAGGTAGGCCTGTTGTGTTGGATCCAGCTTGTCGGGTCTGCGTGTCTCACGAGGGACCGGCCTGCGTGGGCGGGGCCCAGTCTCAACAGCTGCGCCTGTTCAGCCTTCACCTCGTAATTAAAACGAATACATATTTCCAAAGATGGCAAGGCCGCGGGCACCAGTGAGTGACTTTTAATGACTGAGTAATCGTTTGATGAAAATTACGTTGGTCATTGCACGTAATCCCTCCAGGGTCGATTTGTATTGATGCTCTCTTCTGCAGCCTGGCGCCTTTACCAGGCTGCATGGCACGTGTATACCTCGACACAAGGTGCATCGTTCAGTGGTCCATGTATTGGTTTGTAAGGAAGGGTTTGGCTTGATAGTAGCTGCTGCTGCTCGCACAGAGACGTACATAATAGGTACAAACTTATTGCACTTAGCGTGCTCTGTTGATAGTGCCAGCTGGTCGGGATTCCATGCACACACTCAGGCCACATACCTCAAGGATGGATAAACTTCCATGGCATGGGTTTGCAATGGTCATTGCTAAACACCAAGCGCTGGAGTGTATAGTTCAGGGCCATAGAATGTACTCGGTGCTATTGTCTGCATGCATAGAGGGGGCATTCACTCACTTTGACGTCTCCCCGAACTGCTGGGAGACACCAGCAGGCATTTGGTCGCGTTTCTGTAAGGAGATACAACCCGTATGCTCAGGGATGTTCATGGGTGCAACGCACGGATCGTCTGTGGGTCAACACATACGGAGATCACTCTGCCATTTTAAACCCGTGCGCGTCAGCTTCGCATCGGGGTGCCCTATCATCAAAGGTCCCTCACGCATCCACAGACCATCACGTCTTCAAACATGGATAGGTTGAAGCCTCTCGTGGAGCCACTCAAGGCAGGTCCGGCCTTGTTAGGCGTCCTGCAGTCGGCGCACCTCGCCCAGTCCATCCTCCCCGGGCTCATCGCCGATGTACTCGATGAGGGGCTCCATCAGAAGGGGGAGCCAGGCCCAACCCCACCAGCATCCACTCAGGGACCTGCGGCGCAGCCATCGCTGTGCACGGTGCCGCAGCTGAATTTCGTGACCCCACGGTGCGAGGTGCTCCAGGACTGCGCCCTTGCAAGCCCCACAGGCAATCCTGCGCTTACCATCCTTCTCATCTTTCGCGTACAGGGGGAAGCACGACCTGGCCTTCCATGACAAATCATTCTCCCTGCACAGCCCGAAGACCAGCATCAGCATACCATATGCTGCAGTGACCCACATTCTGGTGAGGTGTGGCCAGAGGACAGTGTATGCAGTGTGAATGCCAAACCCAGCAAATCCTGGGGATGGACATTCTTTCCAAGTGATTTGGTCCCCCTCTCCCTCCCAATCCCACCCACATCACCGTATGTGACGCAGATCCTGGATTCTCTGCCTGGCGACTCCAAGGGCAAGGTGCTCCTTTTCCTCGTCATCTCACAGTGAGTCTTGGGTGGGTGCTTTGCCCTCATATGCCTCAGGGGGGTTACACGATGGCCATTAATCAGGCAGGGAGCGCTCGACCTAGCCTCAGGGCAGGACGTCGAGCAGCCTGAGCTTCCCCAGTACTTTCTCAGGCAGGCTGGGAAACCCTTGCCCCAAACCTGGTCACACCAGCCATGCAGGGCTGCTGAACGGCAAGTCGCCGCTCACAGCGGTGGTCATCAGCACCACTGCAGCGGCCCAGCTGGCTGTGAAGAGCCCAGGCAGCAGGGATCCCCTGGAGGGGCCCGCCGCAGTCGTCCTCTGTCAGCTGTTCGGGTGAGGCAATTGTTGTGCAAGGGGGATCATCGTGGGTTAAAGCCTGAGGGGAGGGCCAAAGGGTACGACCGCTGCTATCTCCGACTCTCTGGCTTGCGAGCTGCGACCACGACCCAGCCGGGCTCAGAGCCCGCTTTCATCCCCTGGGCGATCCACAGGCAGCTAGGCGTCCCGCCCGCCTCGTTCTGCTCCCCCGACCCGGCACAGTTTGGAAGCATGTCGTCGGGCCACTCGGGTGTCCCCGCCCATGTTAAGGCGAGGGCGGGGACCCTCTTCCCCATGCCCGCCGGCCTCTGCTTCCTGGAATCGGTCAGTTTTGTGTGCGTTTTCATCTGAAAAGTGACCATTGTGGTTCTTGGTGGCATGGAGACGGGCAGACCCAACTCCCATCAACAGGCCCGAGTTCCCATCCCCTGCAGCCGGCCCTGTTCATCCCGCGGGAAGAAATTAAGGCCATGGAGCTGGCCAGGGCGGGGGGAACATCCTCCACCTTTGATGTGTTTGTGCACCGCAAGGATGGCAGGGTGGAGGAGTTTGGGATGCTGCCGCGTGAGGAGACTGGGCCCTTCGAATGTGAGCCTGGCGTGGGGAGGGGGCCAAAGAGCTGGGATCAGTTGACATGGTGCCCGTCCAGTCGTTGACCTGCACTGACTCTGCTACACTTCAGGAGCTGAAATCCGCCGTGGCAAAACACCCCCCTTGCCACATCGTCGCAGCATACATGATGAACCAGAAGCTGGGACCCCCGGCTGACGATTCCGAGGGTTCAGATAGAAGCGAGGACTCAGGGGACGCCAGCTCTTCATCAGATGCAGAGGTGGGGTGAAGCAGTAGCACAGCATGGGGTGTGCTGGGATGCAAAGGAGGTCGGCCTGCCACCCGCACCTAGACCACTGATTTCCTATGAGCCCTCACCTCAGCCCGCAAACTCAGATCATTTTTCCACACAGGACGAGACATTCGACCCTGAGGCGGGGTCGAGCGACGAGGACGCTGCGCCGGGGGGGTCCAGGCAACCCGGCACGTCTGATGCAGGTGGGTCATTTGGTCAGAGATCACTCTACCCTAGGCTCCCAGCTGGAGAGGGCAATGGTGGCTGCACGCCGCCATCAGTCGTAGATAGACCCGCCTCCTCCCAGCGGTGCACGCCACGTCCGGTCACGTCCTCCTCTCCATCCCAGCAGGGTCCAGCGACGACAGTGATTCAGAGGGAGAGGCTGGCTCGGATGTGGAGCTCGTGTCGGAGGATGACATGTCGACGGCGGCTCTACAGCGGGTGCTGGCAGCCGAGGGCGCAGCTGCGGGGCCCAGGAAGCGGAGGCGCAGCTCCGACTGACGTATGATGCGATGTTTTAAAGCTATGTCACTCTTTGTAATCAGTTCTCAATTGGTCACGCAGAGAGAGCTCTGTGGTCCTGCGCACTGGTGTCACAGCATGCATCACCCCTCCTCCAGCACCTCCACATCGAGCTCGCTGAGGAGCATGTGAACGGAGGCATCATTGTCGTCCTCGCTGCCACCCAGGTTCTCAAAGCTGGCAGTGTCGGCCCGTCCCCTCAAGGGGGGGCTGTGCGCTCTCCGATGTGCCCGCTTTGACTTCCCGCCTGCCCCGCCCCTTGCGCCGCTCGGCGCGTGGGACTTCAGCCCCGTTCTTGAAGTCAGCCCTGCACAGGGGTGCAGGGATGGCTGACTGTGATGGACGGCTTTCACCCACCAGGGAGAGGGGCCATCCACCTCAGCAAGCACCGACTGCCCGCCACCATGCCCAAGCTGCCTAACCCCCTCATCATCACTGCTCACCACCCCTCCCCCCTGTCTTGGGGTCTGCAAGCATGGCTTCAAAGGCCTTGAGGCGCTCCACGCTGGGCACACTCTCCACCCGATGCTTGCGCCGCGCGTGCGCCCGCACCAGCACCACCGCCACCACCGCCACCATACCGATACCCTGGAGGATCTGCGGGAGGGTGGGGAGTGGATTCACACGGGCAAGTGGTATACCTCCGCGGAATTCTAGGGGGGCATCGCCCTCTCTGCGAGGGCAACATACACACGAGGGCATTACACCAACTCTCAGCCCTGTCGCCCCAGTCTCCTGTGTGCCCACACGCCGTCTTGGTAGGGCGACGGCGCCATCCACGTTCCCCTCCCCCCAACCTCCATGCCTTCCTTTCCTGCCACAACCCCTCACCTGCACCGCCCCCGCGGCCAGGCCCTGGCCGCGGGGGAGAGCGGGACCCTGGGGCTGCGCCAGGCAGAAGATCGCCAGGGTTTGCCCCGCCAGGGCCACGGCCACGTGCCCCGAGGCGCTGCCCTCCAGCAGCACTCCCATGCCGCCCTCGCTGTCCGGCAGCCGGCCACCACGGGACAGGACCGCGGCCAGCACTGCGGCCAGCGGCTGCCGCGCCGCCAGCGCCGGGCCGCGGGGCGATCCCCGCCCGCCGGCCTCGTAGGCGGCCAGCGTGCCGCCCCCCGCCACGATCACCGTGTGTCCGCCCGCCGCCGTGAGCGCCACGTCCCGCTCGGTCAGGGCGGGCGGGAGGGCGCGCTGCGCGGCAAGCGTGCACCCCGGCCGGCCGCCCCGGCCCAGCCTCAGGCTCGCCAGCCGGCCGGCGCGGGTCAGCGCGTGCACGGCGTGGGGGCCCTGCGCCGCCGCCATCAGTTCGTCCCCGGCGAGGCCCAGGCATGGCTCCGGGGGCGACAGTCCCTCTGCCCCAGCCGCGGCAAAAGCCCGCCCCGTCAGCACGCCACGCGCCAGCAGAGCGATGCCGGGCGACTCCAGGGGCTGGGAGGACGCCAGCGCGGGCCCCAGTCGGTCAAAGAGGGCCTCGCTGGCGCCGGGCACCCGGACAACAAAGGCCGTGCTGGGCTCTGAAGCGTCCAAACCGCCTCGGGCGAGGACGCTGACGAGGACGGGGCCCCCTGGCAGGACCCCATCGCGGCCCCTCCGTCTCTTGGCGTTGCCGATCAGCCTCAGGGCTCGGATACTGCAGGGCGACCTGCAGTCCAGGGGTGCGGCTGCGGCTCCCGGTGCAACGCCGGCGGGGATGCCGGTCTCGGCAGCCTCGGTCAGGCCATCCCGCGGGACCAGCAGCGCCTGGAGGGTGCCATCCTCAAGGCCGACCAGGAGGTTGAGGGCCCCCGGCTGGTACCAGGCAGCCAGGGCGGAGACTGGCGCTGACGGAGATTCTGGAGAGTGGTTTGTGAGGACCTGGGGGTGAGCCATGCCTGAGAGCGTTCTCTTGTTGAAATAGAATTGCCTGGCAAGCTGCTTGGAAGGGCACCCAGAGCAACAGTGTGGGATGCATGCACATGCGCCGGGTCCCTCCTGACCCTCTTTGGCCTGAGCTTCCACGCACCTGGGGTGAAGCTGGCGACCACGAAACCTTGGGCAGTCAGAATGTGCACGCCCCCTGCCCCATCACCCACAGCAAGAAGGGGAGTCAGTGGCCCACCACCGCGCGGTGTGAGATCCTGACCTGGGTTCTGGATCCATGTAAGTGCAGTCACATTGCTGCGGAGGTTGTGGGCCGACAGGAGGGTGGCGGTATCGGTCCACGTCGGCACACTCGTGTACAAGGGAGTGATCTGGGCCTCGCAGGTATCGCTGGAGCCTACGCAATGGGGCCACGAGAGGTTGCTGGCAGTGCTTGATGAAGAATGCCTGCATGTAAAGGCGCATGCATACCTGTTGCGCATGAGATGGACGCGATGAGCAGGAGCACGACACCCCTCATGGTGTGGAGCGTCCGGTCCCAACAGCCAACCATGCTCGACTCTCCGGGATGCAGTCGTCAGCAATCCTACATCCACTCATGGCATCTGGAGGGAAGCATGCGATGCTGAGATCGCATCATCGGGTTTCGCATGCTTGGCAATGGGCAAACCCAGCCAGGCGAGTGGGGTGGTGGGGAAGAAAGGGTGTGCTTGGAAAACCCAGGGAAGGGTCAAGAAGTTGCTCGCACACGAGCCCCTGCTCCTCAGCAGGTCGCGGAAGCAAAGAATTCCCAGCAAAGTACATGGACAAGGTTTGACGAGAAGCCAGGATCTCTCCCCGCCTACTCCGACCTCGTGCGCCCCGACTTCCCACACCTGCTTCCACGCGGTGCGCAGTTGAGGCCCAGATCTCGACACACTCCGGGGGAGCTGTCCGTCTGATCTTTAGCCATGGTAGAACAGGTACAGCAGTCCAAACTAGTCCTCCTGGGCGAGATGGGCTCCGGGAAGACCAGCCTGGTCCAGCGCTTTGTTCGTGGACAGTATTTCGAGAACCAGGTACGACCTGCGCCGGCGGGGGGCAGGCTGGACTCTTGCTGGGCGTGAGTTTATTTCTTCGATGAGAGCAAGTGTTCTTTGAGGCTGGCCTGGGAGGGGAGGCTGAGGGTTCCCTGCCGTCATTCCATGCGACTGGGGCTTGAAGGCTGGCTGCTCCACTCCCTTGCTGTGCCCTCCCCCTCCCGCCCAGGAGTCAACCATAGGCGCTTCCTTCTTCACAAAAACCATTCCTGAGAAGCACGTCAAGTTCGAGATTTGGTGAGATTCGGTCTGGGTGGTGCCCAGGTTTGTTGCTTTGGTGGATCGCGGATGGATGGGTAGGGAAGGTGCCTGCCCCATCCTCACCTCCCCCTCCCTCCCCTCCCACCCACCTCGCAGGGACACGGCGGGGCAGGAGCGGTACCACTCCCTGGCGCCCATGTACTACCGCGGCGCCGCCTCGGCGGTAGTGGTCTTCGACACCACGCTGGCCAGCTCCTTTGAACGCGCCAAGAAGTGGGTACACGAGCTGCGCCAGAACGTAGCCAACCCCGACCTCATCATCGCGCTGGTGGGGAACAAGGTGGACCTGGTGGACGCGCGCGCTGTGGCCGAGGCCGACGCGCGCAACTACGCGGCTGAGACCAGCCTGCTCTACTACGAGTCCAGCGCCAAGACCAACGTGAACGTGGTGGAGGTGTTTGAGGACATTGCGGACCGCCTGCCGCGCGCCGCCGCAGCCGCCGCGCCCGCTGGCATCCAGCTGGACGAGCAGCCGGCCGTGGCGCCCAGGAGAGCGGGCTGTTGCTGAGGCCTGTAAAGGGACGGGGGGAGGCTGGGTGGCTGGTGCTGGGGTGGAGGGCCCTGAGGGCCAGGCGCCGCCGTGCCCAAGCCAGATGAGTATGGATCTGTCGGCCTTTTCCCCGCGCCGGCCGGCTGGCAGCATGGGGCCCAGGAGCCGGGGCAGGCCCCGAGGCTGGGCTTGAACCCGTCACCCTCACCTTGCGCAAAATATCAGACCTCACGTCACAATGTTGAGCGGCACCTGGAGTCACGGCCACGACCCCACTGTCCCCCTCACACTGCGCCGGATTCTACCGAGGTGCATGCTCTGCAGGCTGTGATGTCCCCAGGCTTTGATGTCCCCCTCCCCTGCCCCCCGCCGCAACTCGCAATGTGTACACTAGGCATGCCACGCGCACAGGCTTCAGGATCAGCAAGGTGATCAGGGGCGAGGAGAAGGGAATAAGTAGAAACCTCCCCAGGAGGACACTGCAGGTACCGGGGGGCTGAATGGGCCCCCCGGGCAGGCGCGATCAGGGGCCCAGACGGTCATGCACGCAAGGGCTTCCGAAAGCTCGCAGCGACCATCTAGCGTAAGGGGCAGAGCAAGCGGGCAGATGAGAGAGAGAGGAGAAGAGGGAAAAGGTACAGCATACTCTCGCGCGGTTCCAAGTGAATGCTACTGGGGGCCGTTTGGCAAGGAGGGAGGTGGCACGTGGCATGCACAGGTGCCACCAGTGTGCCACCAGTTTAAAGGCACCGACATGCGTGGGCGCATGGCGGTCTCAAGGCGAGAGGCAGAGGGGGTCCACCCAGGGCATGATACCTGCCTCCAGTCCAGCCCGTACACCGAACGCCTCCTCGCCCGCTCCGCCGGCTCGCCGTTGCCACGTCCACCCCCTCGCACATGATCCCCTGCCGCCCGCGCTCAGGCGGACGACACATTGAACCAGGATCGCATGCCCTCGTCGTAGTGCACATGGGTCTCGGTGTACAGCGGCCAGCGCCCGGCGGCGGTGGCAATGACGTCCACGGTCTGCACGATGGAGGGCAGCAGCTCCACGGAGTGGGTGTGGGTGTTGGCCGCCAGCAGCTGCTGCGCGGTGAAGGCCGGCGCGTGCAGGTCGGTCTCGGTGCCCATGCCGATCAGGACGAAGCGCACGCGGCTGCCCACCGCCGCGGTGAGGTCGGGCTGGTTGCAGAAGAGGAAGCCGTTGATGGCGGAGCGCACGACGCTGGTTGCGAAGTTGGTGTCGTTCTGCGCGCCGATGGGGTCCAGGGCGGTGCGCTGGAGATTGGCCACCACGTAGGGGCTCACGCTCTCGTCCCCGGTCAGGAACAGGAGTGGGTACAGGTGGTCCACGCCCACGGGGACCGGGGCGGGGTCGGTGGACAGGTCGCCGCCAAAGGCGCCGGCGCGGCCGATGACCAGCGTGCCCACCAGGCCCGCGTATTGGTGCGTCGCGATGTCCACGCCGGAGGAGTAGGCAAAGGCCACGGTACTCAGGTCGTTGGTCTGGGGGCCGGCACTGCGGTGGGTGATTGGTTCATGGGTGGGGTGAGGTGGGGTGGGTGGGGAGCTTGCGTGAAGGGTCTGGGCAGATTGCGATGGGGAGCAGCAGAAGTGGGTGTATGGCGGGGCAGCGCTAGGCCCTCAGACATTCCAGCACAGACCAAGGCATCCGTTCCCCCCATGAGTGAAGAAAAAGGGCACCATTCCCTCACGTGGAAGGCACGAGGAAGGTGTAAAGGTGGGTGGCATTGGGCGCGACGGGGGTGGAGGCGGGGTCGCTGGCGTTGGACAGCGGGATCAGGCCGGCGTCGAAGGCCAGGTTGACATCCATGTCCAGGGCGTTGCGGAAGACGACGGCAAAGGTCTGGCCCACCTCTGCGAACAGCGTGGGCCCCAGCAGGCCGGCGGTCGCGGGGGCTGCCACGCGCGTGGCAAAGTCCGGTCCCGTGTACTGGCGGTAGACGGCCTTGATGGCCTCGGGCCCGATGGACACGTTGGTGTGCGCCACGTACTGCTTGGCGTTCTCGTCGAACGCCTCGCCCGTGCAGCCGTCGAGGCCCAGGGGCACGTAGTTCCAAACCAGGGTCTCGGCCTGGACGTAGTAGGTCTTGGCGGCCTCGGCGGCGGGGGGGTCGGCGACGTCCCCCACCACGTCGTACAGCGCCATCATGCCGGCGTTGATGTGGTCCACGGTGCGGCAGGTGAGCAGGCTGGAGCCGGAGCCGTGCGCGACCACGTCCAGGGACTGCATGGTGCCGGGCATGGCGGTGACGGAGGGCGCGGCTCGGCCGTCGGCCAGCAGGTTCTGGCGCTGGAAGTTGGGCGCGTGCACGTCGGGCTCGGTGCCGATGGAGATGATGTGGACGCGGGTGACGCCGTCGCGCGCGATGGGGATGTGCGGGCCGTTGCAGTACATGAAGCCGTTGATGGAGTGCATGAGGTTGGACTCGGCAAACGCGCCGGCGGGGGAGGACTCGCCGCCCTCCGCCTGCTCCGTCACCTGGGTGTCGTTCAGCAGCACGGTCCAGTCGGCGTCGGCCAGGAACAGCTGCATGTTGGCGTCCAGGAACAGGCTGCCCTGCTCGTTCATGACGCTGAAGTAGAGCACCACCTCCGCGTCCACGTCCAGCGGGACCATGTCGGGGCCAAAGGCGCCGCGCTCGCCGATGATCAGCGCGCCCACCAGGCCCGCGTAGGTGTCGGCGTCCTCCACGGTGTGCGAGTGGTAGAGCCAGGCCTTGGTGGAGAGGTCGGCGGGGCCGGGGCCCGCGATGTCGGGCACGTTCCAGGTGTATGTGAAGGTCTGGCCGGTCTCCACCGCGTCGTCCCGCTTCTCCTCGGCGCTCGTCCCGTCGTTGTAGGGCGTCCCCTCGTTGGACTTGTCGTACCAGACGCCGTGCGGGTGCATGGACACCGGGAAGGGCAGCGTGTTCTTGAAGTGCACGCGCAGGATGTCCCCCACCTCCGCCTTCATGATGGGCCCCAGCAGGCCCAGGTACTCGTCGGCCGCGGCGCGCGGCACGCGCTGCGTGTAGGTGTCGTCGGTGTACAGGCGGTACAGGCCCTTGACGTACCGGCTCCCGATGCGGTCGCTGAAGTTGCCCACGTACGTCAGCTGGTCGGCGGTGAAATTCTCCGCCGACCCGCCGCACATGTAGGCGCCGTGCGGCGCGTAGTCCCAGATGTCCTGCTCCGCCTGCACGTAGTAGTCGCGCGTCGCCCCGTCCAGCTGCGCGGTCAGCAGCGCCTGGGTCGTCGCGTTGGGCGCCACCTCGTACAGCACGATCATGCCGCCGTTGAAGTGGTCATTGATGTGGCAGTGGAACATCCAGGTGCCGGGGGAGCGCGCCTCCATGGCCAGGGAGTAGGTGGAGCCGGGGATCATCTTGATGATGTCGGCGCGCTGGCCGTGCACCGTGATGGTGTTGCCGTGCCAGTGCACGTTGTGCAGGTCCAGGTCGGAGCCGATGGCCGCCGCGTGCCAGCGCACCGTCTCGCCCTGCACCATGCTCACGTTCTTCACCGCGCAGTACAGCAGGCCGTTGATGGAGTGGTGGGTCTGGGTCTCCAGCAGCTCGGTGGGGCTCAGCCCAAAGGACTCCGCCGTCCGGCCCCGCATGTTCATCTCGTACAGCGGGGAGTTGAACTCGTAGATGATCTGGATGGAGAGGGGGTGGGGGGAGGGGGTGTGATCAGGGAGGGAGACAATGCCGGGTTGGCGAGGGAGTGACTGCGAGGCTGTGCTCGAGGCCAAGGCTGCGCCTGAGAGTGCCGCTGCAGCACATGATACTGTGGCAGGGGGGCGTGCAGCAAAACGCAGGGCAATGTACAACTCAAACTACATACCAAAGGGGCGTTAATTGCATTCCAACAATGAAAAATGGGCATGGCTGGCCAAAACCCCGAATGGCAAGGAGGCAGCACACCCAGATCTCATCCCTCCCAGATACCCACCTGGGTGACGGTGATGATGTCCCGGCCGGGGGGCCGCGTGGTGTCGGTCGCGCTGGTGGAGGCGTTGGCGATCAGGATGGGTCCGATCAGGCCCAGGGAGGAGTGGGCGGTGGGATCGACCATGGACCTGGGCGGGGGGAGGCGCGTGCATCTCGGTGACGGGAATGCCGGGGATCTGGAGATCCGATCCAGCGCACGCGAGATATCCTCGACGCACCCCGACACGCTCGGATTTAGACCCTCGAACGATGAATTATAACTCACTTGTACAGCCAGAGCTTTGTGTCCGGCTCGTAGGCGGTGGGACCAGCTTCTTGGGGGATGGTGAAGGTGAGGGTGACGGTGGTGTTGGACGGTACGGGGTCCAGGAAGTCGGAATCGTCCCCGACGATGGGCGTGAAGCCGGTGGGAACGAGGTTGACGTCGAAGTCCAGGGTGTTCCGGAACACGATGGTGACATTGTCTCCCACGCGCGCGCTGATGATGGGGCCTGTGGAGGGGAGCGGGGATGGCCAGTGGCTGGAGTGCCCAGGTTGCATGGCCGCACGCAACAGCCCTAAGCCTCGGCAGCCAAAGCGTGGGACACAAACCGTCATGACACCCTGTAAACTCACCCAGCATGCCCAAGTGAGCCTCAGCTGCCGGCCTCTGCAGCTCCTCCGTGAAGGTCTCGTCAGTATAGCCCTTGTACAGGCCCATGTAATACGAGCTGCCCACGGCCGCCGTGGTGAAGGTCTCCGAGGCGCCGTGCGATGTGCCACAGATGTCGGAGCTGCCTGAGTCAAAGAGGACGACCTCGGCCGAGATGTAGTAGGGAGCCGGGTTTGCAGCTGCCGCCAGTGAAAGCAGGGTGCTGAGCACCAGGGCGCGCACCAGGCGTGCCATGGTGGCCGTCGACTGAAACCTGGTCCCCCTGGAATGCAGGCGAATGCAACGTATATGGCCGGCAGCCCGTCCGACCAGTGATGAGAGACGTTTGTGGGTGTCCGCCTGTCATGGCTCGCGTACGCTGTGGGGTGGCGTGTGCTGCGATCGCTGGCGTACGCTCGTCACGGCCAAACCCCACGCACGTGCCCTCCGATCACGATCCGTCCTTGGCGAAGATTTGAATATCATCTCCCGGATCTCCTTCGCCGAGCACCCTTAAGAACCCGTCAATGTAGCCCAATATCAAATTACAAGTGTATGAGCAAGGCATGGGGTCGCGCACGCAAAAGGCACAAGGGATAGGGGGGTGGATTTGGAAGGACCGCATGGACGGCATCACATACGTGTTATCCATTTCAAGCAAGACATAGAAGTCTTGGGGGTGGGGGGGTGGAACAAGGCAAATTTAGATCGGGGCGATCTCATACGCCTTCCGAATGAGCGTCATGAGACCCGAAAACAAACAAATGAGGTGTGCATGCCCGGATTCCCACGGGCGCGGGTCCTCGCCGTATACCTCTTGAGCATGGAGGGCCATGGCCAATTAAGCTCCAGCCCCCCAAACCACGTTTTCCATTCCCCGTCGCCGGCGGCACGCACAGCACGCGGTCAGCCGTCAGGAGAAGAAGGCGTAGGACGTGGCGTGGTCCACGATGCTCCATGCCGAGCCGACGGCGGCCAGGAGGCCGACCAGCACGAAGAGCGCGGCGATGAGCAGGCAGAGCGCGCGCTCCCAGCGGCGCAGTGCGGCGCCGCGCGCCATCATCCACATGACGCAGGGCAGGATGAAGCAGAGGGGGGCGTAGCCCACGGAGCCCACCAGGCCCATCAGGTCGGTGATGAATGGCAGCGCCACGGCCAGGAAGCCCGTGGCGGCCACGAAGGCCCAGCGGAAGCTCAGGCGCTTGGCGATGACGGCCCAGGAGTCTCGGTACTCCAGCCCCGTCCAGTGCGCCAGCGCGATGCGGGTGTCCACCCAGTCAAACACCGAGTGCGCAAACATCTGCGAGTGTGTGTTGGGTTGGGGGGGTGGGGTCCGAGAGAGGGGGTGCAGATTCGAGAGGAGACGGGAGGGGCCTGCATGTGCACTTTGGTTATACTCTGTAGACAGGCCGAGAACCTCACTGGATGTCCTGCCGTGGAGCACCGACCGTTGGGGTTGCTCAACGATTCTGCCCAATGCGGCACCCCCCACTTAGCCCACACTTGCACACCACACACCACACCCCTTCACTCTGACAGCTTGCACCCCTCATTCCTCCCCTCCATCACCACACACACCCCACGTCCTCCTCCCATCACCAAAACCCACTCACTAGGTAGCCTGCCAGGCCGTTGCCGACCAGGAGGAAGTTGCCCAGGACCACCAACCAGATGGGGTGCCGGATAGAGTTGAAGACCAAGGAGTCCACGCCCGCACCAAAGGCCCAGTAGCCGGAGAGGACGACGGCGAGCACCAGGGCGCAGATGACGGTGTAGCCGACCAGCGCGGCGCGGCGCATGGGCGGCACCGCGCTGGGCCGCGCCGCCAGCACCGCCTGCGTCTCGACCAGCACGGTGTTGCCAAAGAGCAGGGTGATGGAGCCCAGGGCCGAGAAAGCGGGGAACAGGCGCCCCGCCACGCTGCCAGCGATGGCGTAGGACACGTCCGCGTCCCGGCCTGCGCACGGAGGTGTGTGTATGGGGGGGGAGGGTGTGCGGGTGGGACAGGCGTTGAGATCCATCGAGGCTCGGCGAGCAGGCCCCCCCCCCCCCCCCAAAAAAAAAAAAGCCTTCACACGCACCGTGGAGGATGCAGCCCAGGACGGCGAGGAAGCAGAAGCCCAGCGTGGTCAGCGCCCCCGCGGCCTGCACCGGCGCCAGGCTGGCGATGTCCGGCAGGACGACGAGGAGAAGCTGGGCCCCCGAAAACCCCGCGATCCAGGGGGACAGGGAGGGCAGGCAGTGCGTGCCGGCGCGCAGGCCGCACAGCGCCGTGTAGGCGCCCTGCAGCGCCTGGCCGCAGATGACGGGGTAGATGGTGCACATGCCCGTGTTCACCACCAGCTGCAGGCAGGTGACCAGGGCGCGGCCGAGGCGGGGCCCCAGCACGGCCACGCCCAGGTCGCGGTAGCGCGTGCGCCGCACGCCGCCAAACTCGTGCAGGTGCGCCATGCGCGTGGCACACCACAGCGTGGCCAGGTAGGCCACCAGCACGGTGGTGGTGCCGCCGGCCCAGCCCAGGCGCGCAAAGGCGTTGGGCAGGGACAGGGTGAAGGGCGCGCCCACCGTCGCCACCAGGTAGTAGCAGCCCTGGAACCAGGTGCCTTTGGAGTTTGAGGGGAGGGGGGGGTAGGAGGATGGATATTTGGGGAAAGAATGGAGATGGGGGAGGCCAGTCGGCTGCGGAGGCAGAGCCAGTCAGGCACTGCATGTCTGGCCCCAGGGCCTGTGTGTGCGACAGGCCAGGAGCATGCAAACTGCCTCAGGGCAGGCCTGACCGGCGGTCTTCAGGAGAGGTCCTGCCCTTAGTATATGACCCCTATCGACATTCCTGGTACCTGTGGGTTCTTGAAAGGTGCAGCTGCTGGAGTGCGGCAGCAGGCTGGTACTGCTGCTAAAGGTGCTCAGGGACTTGTGCAGGCGCGACAGCGTGCCGGGACGGGGGGCAAGGGGGTCCGTGGCGCCGTTGGCTTCCACGAAGGAGGCCGGCACGTCGTGCAGGCTGGAAAACCTGACGACCCCCACCGCCGCAGGCTCATTGGGAGGGGCCATGCTTCCTCCTGAAAGCCTATATGCCCCCAGCCGTCATGAGGGGGAGGTCCAGGCCGCCTGCGGGACATGTGGGTGGCCGAATGGGTAAGTGTCGCTCACATGGCTTGCCCAAGTCGAAAACTTGGTCCCCGCTTTCCACCCGAGCCGGGACCACCTGGCGGAAGCAGCAGGACCGACTGAAGCCTGAGGCCCGGACGGGGGGTTCCTGCAATCCCTCATTCTGCCGTTTCAAAGCACTCAAGGCCTCCGCGACGATGGACGCCGCAGCGGGCCAGGTCCGGGACTTTGCCAAGAACAGCATCAGGTTGGTTGGGAGGCGTGTTGATACTCGAGGCGCGGAGGCACGCAGAAGGCCTTCCGTTCAGCGATCTTCCATTTCCAATCTGTCCCGACAGGCTAGTAAAGAGGTGCCAGAAGCCCGATCGCTCCGAGTTCGCCAAGGTGGCCCGGCTGACAGCCATGGGTTTCCTGGCCACGGGCCTGATAGGCTTCTTCGTCAAGCTGGTGTTCATCCCCATCAACCAGGTACTCCCAGGGTTGAATGCATGGCGTTCTGCGAGAAAGGATGCCATTACACGCTTCGAAGCGTCAGATCCTGTTGGCTCAGAACTTCCCACACACACCCACACCTCAGATCATCATCGGCAGCACTGCCTCTGCTTGAAGAGGAGTCTGGTGGCGACATGCTCGTTACTCGGCCGCAGCCAAGGCCCTTCCTGGAGAAACTCCTTTGTCTGATCATGCCCTTCCTGCTCTCATTTGTGTAATGCCCCTTACGACGGTGTATCCGGGGCCTGGGTGCCCCCCAACTTGTAGCCCAGGCCAGACACGACATTGGACAGCGCGTGCGCGAGCGCGGCATCCGCCACGTTCCCGGTGTGGAGGTAGAGCGCGCCGTACGCGGCACCCACGCCCGTCGCCCAGGCGGCCGACACGGGGGTCCGCCTGCGATCCAGAAGATGCAGCAGCCCAAACACGATGGCAGTGACGGCTGCGCCTCGCCTGTGCGTGGGAACAAATTGCTCAGGGTGGAGGGGCTGGCGTGGGGCGGGCAGTTTCGGGAGTCCAGCACGCCAAAGGTTGGACTGGCCGAGCTGGCAGGTCCACTGAAGCTGACACTGGCCCCATGTACCAGTGCATCCCCCCTCGCACCAATCCGGGGAAATGGCGGGCAGTAGGCCTCCCCTGAAGCACCACTCCTCTGCAGCGCCGGGAATGGCCCCAACCCAAACGACGTCCAGGGGGGAGCAGGCACTCAGCGCCTTTGTGGGTGGGAGGAGATTGGGTGGTCGCTGTGTTGCGATATCCACTGAGGGGCACTTTGTTTCTGTATCGTCAACAGTCACTGCCCGTCTGCGCAAGTGACCAAGTGCATCCACTTAAGCATGCTTACCTGGGCATTACTGGCATTGGAAGAGGCCTTGAAGCCGGAAACGAGGGCCATCAGGCACCATCTGGCGGCACTCACACCCGCCACCACACCGGCATCCAGAGCAAGGGAGGGGGAGCTGACGCCTGAGATGGTGATGGAGTGGAGCTGCTCATTAGGCGCCTGCAGAATGCTGGCGGATTTCCCCATGCAGCAGTGCCATTCCTGCTCCATCCTCAGCACATGACCAGACACATGTGGACTCGAAAGACTCCCCCCCCCCCGCTCTCTCTCCTGCTGCACCTTGGCTCAGGTAGTGCTGGAGCGCATCCGCATGACCCAGCCACACGGCGGGAGAGGCAATGGGAGCGACCATGCGCAAGGCTTGGCCCGTCAGTGCGAGCACAAGTGTTGTGGATGCCACGGCCGACAGCACATCCGGTCGAGATGGGAAATTGGAGTGGCTGGCCGCACCGCCCTCGGCCGCGGATCGTCGGCGAGATTCTTGACTCGAGGAAAACCCGTTTGGGGGTGTTCTCTGGGTGTTGCCGTCATTGGTGGCGGGTGCTGTAGGCGCTTCTCCCTCGCGCAGGGCGGTAGTGCCTCCCTGCTTGTAATGAAGACGAGGTCGCACTCCTAAGGCCTTGTGCAGCACATGGGACGGAAGCGGTGACAGGAGCTGCATTTTATACGCCCATTTTACGTTCTGGGAGAAGCTCAGTGTCGTGTTAGGCTCTTCAGGACACCTTACGGCAGTATGCTCGAGATGCGATTCCCGTAGCGAGCTGGATCGGAGCTTTACCTTGAGAATTGATGTGCTCTGGTAAATGGTGAAGCATGCAGCCATTGCAAAAGATGTACAAGCACATTCACACAAGCTCAATGGTGGCCATCTCAGCAGAGTCGCCTCGCCTAGGCTGGATCACGGGCTTGACTCGCGTGTAGCCTCCAGGCCTCTCACCATACCGGCTGGCCGCCTGTTCGAACACAGACTTGACCAGCTCCGGGTCGTACACGAAGCCGAGAGCCTGCGTGAAAGGATTGAAGGAAAGCGTCGGGGAGTATCTGGAGCACACAAAGAAGCCATGCCTTCATTTGCGCTCACATACCTTCACGCAAAGTCCTTCCCTCTGGTCCCACGCAGGACACGAGGCATCCGGCGCACCTGCCGACGCGCGTGCAGGCTACCATTCTTGGCCAGCGTGATGATGTGGTCGACGTGTTTCCGGATGGCTTTTGCGCGGGCCTGGGCCGAGGAGGGTGAAGGGGTTGCTGACAACACTGCAAATACTGTCTTGGTTTCGGCGATGGTCTGGCAATGCTCACAACATCCAGCGCTCATGTACCGCATTTCTGTGACTGCATGTCCTCGCCCACCCCTCACGAAATGATCCAGGATTATCACCTTGGTGGTCTGGATCTTGCCGTGCCTCAGGACCTGGGTGACAAGACCGCGAATGAGGGCCTTCCGCTGGTCTGCAGGGAGGTTCAGCTTTGCCTTCTTGTTGCCATGGCGCATGGCAAAAACGGTGGCGCCGTTCGTGGGGGCTCCTTGCAGAGAGTCTGTGCAGGGTTGGAATGGGAAGGTCACCACCAGGGCCCATCACTCACCATGGCCACCCCCGTCATCCACACGGTCCCACGCATCCCACCTCTGGCGACAGGGTCCAGCTGCGTAATCTGCACTCGCCTCATTCCTACATATGAGGGGGTTGCCGTGAAGGCATGCAGCCTCACGGGCGCACGGGCACCCGAGCAGGGTCCCAGCACCCTCGGCGCGCCAAGGGATAACACGGACATGGGGGGAACAGCCAAGGTTCCGCCCACAAGAAGAATAAGTGCACAATGCGAGTCACTGGTTGGACCTCCCCGACTCGTCGATGAGGGCCACTCAACTCAGGACCGCAGCAGGGCGAAGAAGGATAGCACTGCCTTTCCGCGTTTCCTTTTGCCACGGGCGACCGCAGACCAAAAGCCGCCGATGCACAGGCCTTCTCCACCAAAATCGCGCTTCATCTCGAGCGTCCTGTTGGCGCAGGACGCATCGATGGCGCGATGTTGAGTCCACCGCTCATCTAAACCCACCACGGCGGTTTAGACACA